GCCCGAGAAGGCTTGCGCGCGCAAGCCGTTCAAAAACTCATGGACGATCATGAATGTTCGCCTCTCTGGGCACACACCGGGGTCCTCTTGGAACCTTCTTGGGGGCCTCTTGGGCAGTTTGGAAAGCTTCTTCGGCCGTCGGAGCCCCCTGGGGGCTTTTTGGGGGGTAGCTCGGGTGGGCTTGCGACTGCAGATCAGCCTCGCGCAAAGTTCACGGGGGCAGCTTGCGCTGCCGAACCAAGCGGCCCCAGAAGGAGAAAAGGAGGACGAGATTCAATATGTCCCTCAAAACGGTGATCAGAACTTTCGCGCCAATTCAAGGATCAGTTGGGAGAAGAACCACCTTCGCATGAGGATGAACGAACTTGATCCGAGCCTCATCCTACGCAGCGGCCGCGACGGGGCCGTCATCTGGTGACTCGGAGGACGCTGTCAAGTCGTGGCCTCACGAAGTCTATAAACCGATCACGCCTTGCACGCCCTTTCAATTTTGAGGAAAGAGGCTTTCTTTGGAGGGAAGCGGGCTTGCAACTGCGCGGCTGCCTTGCGCAGAGTTCTCGGGGGCAGCATTCGCTGCCGAACCAGGCGGCCCCAGAAGGAGAAGAGGAGGACGGGAGTCGATGCGCCCCCCCGGTCGGCGATCAGGATTCTAATCCTGGACAGCGGCCGCGACGGGAACGTCACGTGCATTAGGCGAGCTAGACGACCTCGCCAGAGTCAGTTCTCGGATGCAGCCTGTGGACGGAGTTGATTCCTGGCTGTGATCGCCCATGCCCAGCAAACCTCCGACACTCATTCCTGTGCCCCCCCAATCGTTTCACGTGCAGAATGAAGAACCTGACGCCGGTCAGCGCACGTCCGTGCACGAGTTTCAAGTCAAAGCTCCCAAAACGCAACCACTTGGGCGTCTCGGTGACGTCGTCCGCCGCGCGGAACTGGAGGCCACCGAGATGCTTCCTTTCTACCCATTTGCCAGTAAGGCTCACCTCTTGGAAATACATCTCACTGCAATGTGTCCCGAGACTCTGCGCTTCCGCCTCGACGCGAAGCAGGGTGCCCTCACTGCCCGCGCCCCTCGGGATCTGGATCAGGGCATGCCTGCCAGCCCTCATCAGGTCGGAGCGCTGCCCGAAGATGTTCTGCAGGCGCGGGCCACCTGTGGCCGCGACAGCAGCGCCTTCTGGCGCCGCAGTCGCAGCGGCAGCGGTCACGACGAGGGACGTCACCGTAAGGCCGAAGTCCATACCGGTTCACTGCTCCAGTCAGCAGCAGCCATTGCACTCTCAGTCTCGGCTGCGATGGCGGTAGAAGTTTCACCAATCTCGGTGGAGAAGATGGCGGCAATGCTGATGTCGGGGGCGGTCACCTTGATTGCGGTCTTCACAGAGACTGTTACGCTCGACCGCTGGCGGGCATCCGTGGGAATCCGACGACCAACCAAGGCGAACCCAAGAATGGCAGCGTCGACAGAGTTGGGCATAGATAGAGCCTTACGAAAGCCGTATGTCTTAGCCGCTTTATAGACAGTAGAAGCCACGAGGTCTGACGCAGTCACGCCAGCTGGAAGAGTTTCATCCGAGGTATACTCGACCCGTATGTCTCGCTTGACAGTGGGCGTCGGCATTGGCGTCGGGCATGGCGTCGTCGGGCTGGGTGTCGAGCTGGGCGTCGGGCCGGGCGTCGGGCTGGCCGTCGTCTGGCTTAACGTCGGGCTGGGCGTCGAGCTTGTCGTCGGCGGACTAGGCGTCGGGCTGGGCGTCGTCGGGCTTAACGTCGGGCTGGGCGTCGGGCTTGTCGTCGGGCTAAGCGTCGGCGGACTTGGCGTCGGGCCTGGCGTCGGCGGACTTGGCGCTGGGGTGGGCGTCGGGCTCGACATCGGGTAGGCGCCGGGCGGCGCGGCGTGCGCGGCGTCGGGCGGGGCGTCTGGCTGGCCGGGCGCGCAGCCCGTCATCTTCACGCCTGAATAATGGCCCCCCGCGCCCCTATAGTCGCCAATGTTAGACATTGACAGGCCTTTCTGGTTACCATTGAGTTGCAGCGCCCAGAACTCGCACGTAGCAGACATAGCGCATTCCGCTGCGCACTGAGCCCACGTCCAGGCATTCCCATTCGGCGACCTCCATGGCTGCAGCACCGTATTATACGCACCGTCATACCAGCCACTCAAGTCCCACTTCTGGCATCCACCAGACGGGTCGGGCGGGCACGGCGTCGGGCTGGGCGTCTGGAGGAAGTATCTGGCGCGCACGCAGACCTCAGTGTGACCATTGCTGGGGCATCCATGCGTCACATACCATAGTTCACCGATGTTCGTTGGCGACTCCGGGGTCGTGGGGCCGAAGCTGGTATCGGATCCAGCCGAACACTCGGTCGAGCACCAAAGCGCAGATGTCCAGAAACCTCCCACGCCGCCGTCGACGCTGCGGACAATGCATCCGCAAGTTGCATTGGCATTGTTGTTCGGCTGACGAAACCATTGCATTCCGGTCACGCCCGCGGGCGTCACAGATGGCGCCAGGAACATGGGCCCTGAGTTCCCATTATCGCCGAAAGCCTTGCACACGGCCTGCGACCAGGCACCAGGCCGACCAGATGGGGTGCTGTGCGTCGGGCGGGGCGTCGGGCCGAGCGTCGGGCTGGGCGTCGGGCTGAGCGTCGGCGGACTTGGCGTCGGGCTGGGCGTCGGACCGGCCGGCGTACACGAGTAGCCGGCCAGCTGAAAGCCATCGTTGCGGGTCTCGCAATGGTCTTGCGCCAATCGCGATTGCGGCGAGACGCAGCTCTTGCACGCGATTCCGCTCCCAGTCTCACAGGTGTATCTCTGATTCCGGAAGACCTGGAAGTTGGACGACCCCTCACTGGCCCTGGCTCCAGCCTGTTCAGAACAGACCCCCGACGTCATCGCGTCGTCAGGCATGCAAGCACACGCGGTTCCCAAGCTGCCGTCGTGTGGCGCGTCGGTATACAAAATCTCGCAAGAGTTGCCGCTCTGCTCCCAAGCTGCCACCGCGGCGAAACACTGGGCGCGAGTCAGCGCACCCCAGGAGGATCCCGCCATCGCCCCACTCATTTGGCATATGTACGGGGTGGCCATGCCGACGAGGCCCGTGACCCAAGCAGGCTCCTCCCCCCAATCGTCGCACGTGAAACAGGGATGAAGATCCTGGCGCCGAGGTCCCAGTCGAGCTCGGCCCTCTGGAGCGATCCGTTGCGGACCCCGTCCAGGATAGGCTTGGGGTCTGGCAGCTCGCTCCCGAAGCCGGGGTCGGAGACGGCCCTGGGCAGAGACTTTAGCACTGGCAGCGCCGACTTCGGCCCCTCCAGCTCTGGCTCGGTGGCTGCTGCTTGGGCTCGACGCAGCGGCGGGGGCATCAGGGTCACCTTGAAAGTGTAGCCAAGCTGGAGACTGAATTCTGGCCAGAGCGGCAGAGACACGGCAGCCTTGAAAGGGCCAAGCGAAAGCATGGCGCCAAGAGCAAACCCCCAATACGACCAGCTCGGAGGATTCGGCCCCTTCTTACACTTCATGCTGAACACTCCATCGAGCGCGCGGAGCGCCCAGCGGGCTCCTGCCCGCACCCTGGGCACCGCCACCTCCCCCTCGGCCTGGCCGTGGGCCGCCCCCACTTCCCGGCCGCGCCTTGCACGCCAAGAGGGCGGCCTCGTCGGCGCCACACTGGCCCGCGCCGCACGTCTCGTCACCGGCGGCCCCGGCGGCCAGCAGCAGCAGGAGGCAGGCGGCGGCGCGGCCCCAGTGCATCGCGGCGGCGAGGAGACTTCAAAGCTGCCTCTGCGCGAGCTTCTCGAACGCTGGCGACTCCGAGGGTCCCTGCCGGGCCGAAGCGGCTGCGCGAAACGCCAGGGGGCGCGGCCCTCGGAGAAGGGCGGAGCAGCACCCACCGCTCCAAAAGCCCTGGACCCGTGAGCGATGCCTCCGCCGCTTCGGGGCAAGGGGGCCTTCCTCGCCTTCGCCGGCCTGCCGCCAGAGGAGGCGGAGGAGCAGGAGAGCAGGAGGAATACCGAGGAGGAGGAGGAGGAGGAGGAGGAGGAGGAGGAGGAGGACGAGGAGGAGGAGGAGGAGGAGGAGGAGGAGGAGGAGGAGGAGGAGGGAGGAGGAGGGAGGAGGAGAAGGGGAGGAGGAGGAGGAGGAGGAGGAGGAGGAAGAGGAGGAGGAGGAGGAAGAGGAGGAGGAGGAGGTGCCGCTGGCGGAGCTGCTCCCCGCCCGGCTCCCGCCGTCCTCGCCGCCCCGCCCGTCTCCTGGCGCTTCCGCCGGAGGCGACGGTGCGCCGCAGGCGGGGCCCTTTCTGTGACTGGTGGGGCCCGCTGGCCATCGCTCGGGCGTTCACTCCCTGCGTTTTTGTTTGGTGTCGTGCGTTTTTTTGTCTCGCAGGATGATCCAGGATGCTCATTCCCTGTGTTTTTGTGTGGTGTCGTGCGTGTTTTTTCTCGCAGGATGATCCAGGATGCTCATTCCCTGTGTTTTTGTTTGGTGTCGTGCGTGTTTTTTCCCCCCCAGGATGATCCAGGATGCTCATTCCCTGTGTTTTTGTTTGGTGTCGTGCGTGTTTTTTTTTGTCGCAGGATGATCCAGGATATGCTCCTCAACAATCCCCGCCGAGGCAAAGTGCACACGTCCGAGCGATACCAAGGCCGAGGGGGGGGAAGGGGCGCGAGGGGGAAGCAGCAGGAGGGGAAGAGGAGGGGGCAGGAGCACCGCGAGGAGCACGCCAGGGGGGGCGAGGAGCCCAGGAGGCGTTCATAGAAGGTCTCGATTGCCCCAGCACGCGGTCTCCGAGAGGGCCCGATGTAGCTCAAGACGGTTCGTCATGCCATCCAACAGGCTTCCATGAAGCCGCAGCACCACCCCAAGGTGGCTCCAAGTGGCTCGGGGACGTCCCAGGCAAACCCTGGAGGGGCCCGCTGGCCATCGCTCGGACGTCCATTCCCTGTGTTTTTTTTTTTTTCGGTTTCGTGCGTGGCTGTTCCGCCAAATGATCAAGGATGCTCCTGGAGGGTCCTCGCCCAAAGAAACATGCACACGTCCGAACTATGCCAAGCCCGACACCCGTCAAGGATGTCGAAATGTGTGAAGTTTTCCCTCGGGGTCTCTCGCCTCGTCGTTTCCCGTGGGCCCCTGCGGCCTCGGGATGCTTCCACGGTCGCCCCGAGACTTATGCTGCTCCCATCGTGCTGAAAAACCACATCCCAGAAGTAATTTCGAGTACCAGGAGAAGTGCCGAAAGAATGTCGAACAAGTGTCGAAACGGGGTCGGGCGAGCGTTTCCCAGGGCCCGACACGCGAGGACCCTCGAGTTTCGGTATCTTTGGTTTGTGCTCGACATTCTTCCTGGTACTCAAGGCTAAAGTAGGTTGGAGCACCATAGCCCGAGACTCCTCGCCCCGACGGCCCGACGACGGGCCCAGATGCCACGCCTGCAGGCACATTGGCCTTGGACGGTGCGCTCGCCCTGCGGGCTACGTGCGGCGGTCCTGGCATCGGTGCGTTTTTCCGAGCGTCACTGCTCCGACGACACGGCGAGCTGGAACACCTCGGTCCACTACAGTCAACCAATCTAGTAAGGATGCGCTAGAAGGATGCGAGGGCCGTGGACGCAACTTTCGAAGTTTTTCGAGCGGGGCGCGGCAAGCGAAAGCGGCGAAGAATGGACCGAGGAGGCGAGGATGCAAGGGTACCCTTTGGAAGGATGTCCATCCTTACTATCATGGTTGACTGTATGTTGCCTGACCAACCTGCGCGTGTCGCGCATCGCTCCCCGTGGTGCGCAAGCACGTTGGCGCCCTCGTGCCGACCCCCCGCAGAGAAGGGCAGTCGCTCTGGCCCGGACTGCGATGCGCGAAGCGCGCTTGTATTCATACTTGGCTCCAACGAAAATTCCCTTGGAAATTCGCAAGAGGAATAATATGTATGTAAACCCGTCGGCAAGATGAAAAGTCGCGCGCGCGTGCTGAGCGTTCGCACGCACGCAACCCCAAGACGTCCCATGGCCACAACATGCTTCCAAGAATGCCCCAGGCCACGGACGATAACGTCCAGAGGACCCAGGATGATGCCACCCCAACGCGATCCCGCCATGGATTCTGGACCGTCTCAGGCCGACTCGCAGATGACGAAACACATGATCAACGCGTGACGCCGAGATGGCCCGATGGCAACAATATGGATCCAAGCGCACCCAGGGTGGCCTCATAATGACCAAACGATGGTTGCGTGATCCGAACATGACCGGGATATGATCTCAAGATGACCTCAAGACGACCCCAACACGGCAATAATACCGCAACTTATGAGCCCCATCTTACTTCGAGCCGATCCCAGCATGGTGGGATCCGTGAACGGCCCGGGATTTTGGTCTACCCCATTTTTAATGGGTGGGATTTTGATCGTCTTGAATAATCGTTTGGGATTTAAACTTATAATATTAAAGCGGAATAAGCCAGGCGGGATCCCGCCCGGCCCACGGAGGAAGACAACATTGCTAGGCTTCTACGGGGGTAGGGGGTTCGGAAGGGGCGTCGTTTACTTCCGCTGACATTGGCAAGCCTTCTGGCGGCCTTCCCCCGTTTTCCGCCTCGTTTTACTTCCGTCGACTTCCGCCGGCCAGCGTCGTGATGAAAATTCCAGGAACTTTCATTGGGCCGATGTAGTGTCGCCCCCTCGGGTGATCTAGGCCAACACGAGGCAGGACGAGATCTCCCTCCGTGCTACCTCTGGTTGGCACATGCTTGCCGGGAAGCCTCGCGCGAGGGTCTCTCCTCGTTCAGAATTGTGCGGCGAGTTTCGCGCCTTTCGAGGCATCAACATCTTGTGATACCATACCCATCGGTCGGAAGAAGTGGGTAGAAACAGGAAGTAGGAAGGCGTTGGAAATAGATCGGGTTTCCGCCCCGCCTCCTGAGGAGGAGGGGAGAGGGAAACCCACTCGACTCTTGAAGTAGGAAGGCGCTGAAAGTAGATTGGAATCTGGGAATCCAAAAATACCTACTTTCAACGACCGGTGGGTAGCTACTACTATGTGTTGCGGATCGCAGGCCCCTGCTTCTGGGCCGCCTCTCTCCGTCTCTTCTGGATGCGCCATTCGGCGACGCCCGGCTTCGCCGCGCCCCGTATTTATTTCCTGTGCCGCCGCAGCCCAACCAACTCGGGCAGATCGCTGGCATCCATAGGGAGCCCACAAAGGACGTACGCGCCCAGCTATGTACATGAACACGGCCCCTCGATCTGCGAGACCGGCCGCGTGATACGAACTTTCGGACAATGCGTACTCTCGAAACCAGCGTGGATTCACGTACGTGTACGTCCTTCTTTCGCTCCTGAATCCATGGATGAGTCCTTGCCTGGGACTGCCATGCTCAGTAGTGCCCACTCACCTCAGGAGGCGGTACAGTCCACAAGTGGAATCAGGATGTGCGATAGGGACGCAAGGGCCTTGGACGCTCATCTCGCAGCTTTTCGAGCGGGGTGCGGCCAACGAGAGCGACCAAGGATGGGCCGAAGGGCAAGGATGCGAGGGTACCATTGGAAAGGTTGCCCATCCTTACTATGCGGGTTGACTGTAGTGCCCACTCACCTCAAGGGGCACTCTTGGGACCGTTTTCCGTGCTCGAGATGTGTAGTGCTGAGGTGGCAGGGGGGGCGGTTGTGCATATCCCCCCCTCTTGCAGCCAAGCGCGCCAACTTCGTCTCCAGATCTGGGAGCCGCCCTGAAGCCCAACATGATAAGTACACCCCCTCGGAAACTCATGTTGCCCCGGTCGACGGCTTCGACTTGCCAGGCACCTGCACCTGACAGTTCTTCCACACAGAAGAGCCTCAAGCGTCGCAAACGCTGGAGTGGCCAATATCTGCGAAGCGAGAGGCCGCACACCGTGACAGCCTTCGGAATCAACTAGGACCCTCCCAACAATCCCAACCTCTGCCCCGAGATCACAATGCACCGACTGTTCGGACACCTGCATAGATCCGCAACCGCGCCGCGAGGCACCGAGCCCTCGGGTCCCTCCGAGTTCTCTGTGCTGAATATCGTGAATGCGCTGGCAGAGAAGGAGGAGGAGGAGGGAGGAGGAGGAGGAGGAGGAGGAGGAGGAGGAGGAGGAGGAGAGCCCCACATCCGCAACTCGCGAAACCTGGGTGCTGCTGGGACGTCTTGCCGCTTGGTCCCCAGGCCTGTGGAGCGTGGCTGGGAGGCCGAACTTCCAGCATGCCCCAAGATGGTTCCAAAGGGCCGTCCTTTTGCACGGTTTCCCCCGGGGCCGTAGGCGACCCGAGGAGACAGGAGGAGGAGGAGGAGGAGGAGGAGGAGGAGGAGGAGGTGGAGGCGGAGGTGCAAGTGGAGGAGGAGGAGGAGGAAGACGGGCCGCCTAAGCCCTTCGGAGAAACCCTCCGCGTCCTTTGGCTCTCGTGGGGGTCTCCCGAGCTGGTCTGTGCGGGGCCGGCTAGAGAGGCCACAACCACTGAGCAAGCATGCGATGTGTGTGGTCCGCACACGCTCGTCTGTTCTCTCCTCAAAACTTCCGTCACGGCCCAGGGAGCCCCCCACGATGCTTCCGAGAGAGGCTCACGAGGCCCGTTTTCGAGAGAGGGTGAAGAAGATCAGAAAACAGAGAGAGAGAGAGAGAGCGAATGCAAGAGAGAGAGAGAGAGTGAACGAGCAAAAGAAACAGAGACAAAAGAGAGAGGAACAACATACCAGACGACAGATAGAGACACATATAACTATAAGAAGAGGCTCTAAGCAATCGATGCTGGCAGGCCAAGGGCTGCCTGGATGCCCTCGGACTTTATCACGTCCTCATCCGACGCCTGACCAGCTGTCTCTCGAGGTCAACACCAAGAGGGCGGGCAACCAAGGGTGCTGACGGGGAAGGGCGGAAATGATAGGCCGCAAGGGAGGGTGAGAGTTCTAGCGGGTGGCATCAGGAAGGGGAGAGCAGAAGGGATGGAATTGGGAAACGGGGGATCGAGGATCAGAGGTGAGGGAGGGGGAGGGGGCCCGCTAGCATATCGGATATCCAATCTCTCCTGCCCACCCCTTCCCATTATTTTTCGAAATCTGCCGACGGGTGTCACGAATAGCGGGCTTGGAACCCCCATCAAAGCACCCCATTGTGTCACGCGCAACCACAAAAAGGAAGCTGCGCACGTGGGGAAGGTGCGGAAGAGCAGGAGGACAAGCAGGAGAAAGAGAAGGATGAAGAAGCGGCAGCGGCAGCAGGAGCAGGAGCGAAAGAGCTGGAGGAGCAGGAGGGCGGGAGAGGGGGAAAGGAGCGGGGCGACAAGAATGCGGAAGCACTCGAGCCAAAGCAGTGCCTCGTGCTGGGGCGAGAGCGCTGTTCTGCAAGACGGGGGGGCAACGTGCCGATCCCAAATCGAGGCCAGCGCTGCAGGGAAGCACCAGTCTGAGACACCGGAAACGCTCCGGCTGAGGAGCATAGAGAGCAGACCAAACAGTGCAATCCAGCGTGCAGCGGTCAGTGCGCGGAGGGGGACGGGCGACTCCACGGCCGTCTTCGGGGCAGAGAAGAGAATGGTGCACAGATCGAGTACTCCAGATTTCGTAATAAAAGGGAGGGGGTCTCATTTCGGGGGGGGGGGCTCTTCCAGGCTATCTTGGAGGGCCTGGGGGGGTCTGGGGACGATGGTTTGGAGGGTTCTCCCGCGGGGGAGGTCTCAAATGGCTCGTCTTGGAGGGTCCAGACCCCCTCCCTTTTATCACGAGATCTGGAGTACCCGTGGAACAGAGAAGCGGGAAAGGGGGGACGGGGACGGGCAACGGAGAGAAGGTATTTGGCGCACCGAACAAATCCTGAAGCTCGGAGGGGGTGGGGGGGGGAGGGGAGGAGGGGGTGGAGGGGAGGAGGAGGAGGATGAGAAGGAGGAAGAGGAGGAGGAGGAGGAGGAGGAGGAGGAGGAGGAGGAGGAGGAGGAGGAGGGGGAGTGGGAGGAGGAGGGGGAGTGGGAGGGGGAGGAGGAGGTGGAGGAGGAGGAGGAGGATGAGAAGGAGGAGGAGGAGGAGGAGGAGGAGGGAGGAGGAGGAGGAGGGGAGGAGGAGGTGGGGGAGTGGGAGGAGGAGGGGGAGGGGGAGGGGGAGGAGGAGGAGGAGAAGCTCGAGGCCACGAGGGCTCCGCCGATGCCTTTTGGCACTCCTGGCAGTGCTCTCGGCCAGCAGCGCTCCGGGCGCGGACGCTTCGGGCGCCGCGGGCCACATCTGAAGGAGCCCCAGGACACACACACACATAAATACACACAAATAAAACTATTTTCCCATATTTTCATATATTTTCTGGGTTTCTGTCTTCCCCCCCACTTCCCATGTCTTCCCATATTTTCTAGGAAATCGAAGATTCATTGTGTCTGTGTGTTTCCCCCACTTCCCATATCTTCCCATATTTTTCCATATTTTCTGGGAAATCGAAGATTCATTGTGTCTGTGTGTTTCTTTTCCTCCTGAAAATCCTGATGCTCCTGACGCCCCTGGCGCTGGACTCCTCCTCCTCAGAGTGAGCCTCTGCGGGCACGGGCGCAGGAACTCGGCGCGCCTTGCCTCCGCCCTCCCCCCCTCTCGCCGCCCGGCCACGTGGGAGGGGGGGGCGGGCGCATGTGAGGAGGAAGGGGGGGTCGGAGGGGGAGGGGGAGGAGGAGGGGGAGGAGGAGGAGGAGGAGGAGGAGGAGGAGGAGGAGGAGGAGGAGGACCCCCCCCCCCTCCGACCTTTCGGCACCTCGGACCCGCGTTGGCACGCACGGGGGCGCGCGGCGGGGGCGTGCCGCGCCGGGACGCCCCGCGGCCCCCCTCGGCGTCGGCGCCACCGAGGACGGGCCGGCGCGCCCGAAGGGTCAGACGGGGTACTGGCTCCTTAGGGGAAAGAGAGCTATGCACATACACCGACTCTGGCCAGGCCCATCCTGAGCCCAGGATCGGTGCATACGCCCTCTTACCTTGGCCAGGAAGGTATATGCACCGATCCTGGGTCAAGGATGGGCGTTGTCAGGATCGGTGCATGTGCATAGCTCTCTTCGCCCGACTCCTGCCGCCCGCGTGGCACCCGTCGCGGTAGCTGTGCGGCGGGCGGCCGCGCGCGGCGCCCGAGGCCCGGCAGAGGCGGAAGGACGCGTACTCCTCTCGGGCGCTGGCAGAGCTGGGCTTCGTGAGACCCGGTCTAGTGATAGGCACTCCAGATTTCGCAATAAAGGGAGGGGGGGTCTCGTTTCGGGGGGGGTCTTTTCCAGGCTACCTTGGAGGGCCTGGGGGGGTCTGGGGACGATGTTTGGGAGGGTTCTCCCACGGGGGAGGTCTGAAATGGCTTGTCTTGGAGGGTCCAGACCCCCTCCCTTTTATTACGAGATCTGGAGTACTGGGGGACGCCCCCCCCGCCCCGTTCCACAAACTGGAGCTGCCGTCACCCGAACAAGCACCAGCCGCGGCATTTCCGGGGCCCCGGGGCCCTGCCACTGACCGGGCCCCCTTGCCTGGGGTCCTGGCTATACCCGATCCTCGCACTTCGCGGCGTCGTCGAAGGGGAGCCGCCGCCTCAGCGGGCAGCCCTCCGCCGAGGCGTGGGGGCAGCTGCCGTGCCCGCACAGGCTGTCGTTGGCGAACGCGCCGGGAGAGCCGTGCAGGCCCAGGGAGCGCTGCGACCCGCTGCCCTCGGCATAGTCGCCGTTCAGCGCCCACGAGGCCCAGAGGCCGAACGGCGAGCTGCCCCCGACGACGTGCTCCAAGCTGGGCAGATTCCGCGGGAAGAGAGAGCGGCACGGACACGACCTTGCCGATGCTTGCGTGGATCTCTTGGGGATCGGCTCGGGGTGCTGCCAGAAGTGGTCGTGGCCCAGGGTGCCCCAGGCTCTTCGCACCACCTCGGAGCCCCTCGGGCCCCCCTCTGGGCGTCTCCCCCGCCAACACTCTGTGCGAAATCCTGCATTTTTGTGCGCGAAATCCTGCACCCCGAGGCCGAAAGTGCTTTCCTCTTGGACCAAACATAAAAAAAAATATCCATGGATCCCATTGGATCCCTGGGGACACATTTGGGCTTCGTGGGGGGTGCTCTGGGTCCCCCCTGGGCTTCGTGGGGGGTGCTCTGGGTCCCGCCAGAAGTCCTGGGGACATACTGGGCCAGGGACGCCTCTGGCAACCCCCGATCGGCGCTGCTCCGTTTGTTTCCCACCATGTTTTTTTGTGTTTTTTTGTGTGTGTGTGTGTAATGTTTGTGTGTGTGTGTTGTTTTTTGTGTGTTTGTTGTGTGTGTGTGCTTTTGTGTTGTTTGTGTGTTTGTGTGATGTTTGTGTTGTTTTTTTTTGTGTGTGTGTGTGTGTGTTTTTCCCACAGACTCGGGCGCCGATCCGAGAACTCCGCGCAGACCTTCGGACGTCTGTGCCTGCGCCGCCTTTTCTTCCGTCGAGGATTGCACTGCCGCACCTGGAACAGCTGGCCCTGGCTCAACGGCTCGCTCCAGAGTCGGAGGCGCGCTGCTTCGCAGCCCAGCGCCTGGCCGAGGCTGCCGCCTCCCGCCAGCAGCTGCCCGTCCATCCCGATGTCGTCGGTGATGAAGTCGGTGCCTCCCAGGTGCAGCTGCAGCGAGAAGGTGATCGACCCGCTCCCCTCGACGCCGTCCAGGAACAGCGTGGCGGAACCGACCTCTGTCTCGCTGGGGAAGGTGATCGTCTCGACCGGGATGACGATAGGGTCTATGGAGCCGCCAGGCTTGATGCCGTCGACGTTCTCCAGTCCTGCTGCAACGGCGGCGCTGAGCTCCACCCTGCCGGAAAGGGCCTCCTTTATCTCGGAATAGTGCGTCGTGGGGCAATTCACGGTGATGGTGATGCTGGTGCGGTAAAGTGCTGTTGAATCGGGATCGGCTTCCAAGTACAGAAATATGCCATCTGTGACGACACCCCACCTGCCCAAAGCATCAAGCATCGTCGCGCGGATGTTTTCCTCGGCGGCGACCAGCTTAACCATATTGTTTCCCATGTTGTCCCAGTTGACGTTTGTGGCGATCATAACGACTGTCAGCTGCACGCCGCCCGATGTGTTCCAAACAGCGGCCACGTGATGCCACTCCTGTGAGAGGCCACGTACTCCAGATTTCGTAATAAAGGGAGGGGGGTCTCATTTCGGAGGGGGGGTCTCTTCCAGGCTATCTTGGAAGGCCTGGGGGGTCTGGGGACGATGTTTTGGAGGGTTCTCCCACGGGGAAGGTCTGAAATGGCTTGTCTTGGAGGGTCCAGACCCCCTCCCTTTTATTACGAGATCTGGAGTACACATTCGAAGCCAGCGCAAACGTGACTCTGACTCCATAAGCCTAATAGAGCAAGAACGGGAAACGTAAACGTTGTTTAGTATCCTCGCGTTGGGGGCCAGCACGGAAACGAGGAGGAGGAGGAGGAGGAGGAGGAAGGATGACGGCGACGACAAGGCGGCGGATGACGAGGACGCCAGCGCCGACAACTGGAGGGGCAGCAAGGGGAGCAGCAGGGCAGCGAGGAGGAAGGCAAGCACAAGGACGAGGAGGAAGAGATGCAGTACGAACAGCAGGAGAAATGGAGCGGAGGAGAGGAACACCGACGACGGAGAACGGGAAGGAGCACGAAGAACAGGACGTCGGAGGAGGAGGGGGTCCTCGTGTTCTGTGGAGGCTACCCTTGGGGGCTGATAGGCAACGCATACATTCGAAGACCACGCAAGCGTCCCCTTGCCTTCGTGAATCGGCCAGCGTGCCTTGAGCACGTTGTAGAGTGCCCCGAGATTCACGCAGTTGAATTTGAGAAGGATCGTCGGTCATCCTCCGCCTGCTCTTCGCGACCCTTGTCATCCTGCTGCGGGATCTCGGGACAATCGTGGATTGGTCAAGGCATTCCCCTGATCCTCGTCCCCCATCGAGATGTTCGAGGGGCCATAGACGGTGCCTGCAGGCGGAGGCGAAGGCGGATCGAGTCCCATGCCGCACGTCGCTCCTTCCGATCTGAGCCTTACTAAGGCACCCAGAGAGCAGACCATGACCGGAGAAGACGGAGCGCAGCATCAGAACAGCGGCAGCCAGCAGCATCTCGAGCAGAAAGGGGAGCGAGAACGAGAGTGGGAGCAGACTGAGGGGAGAGGGACCAGGAGCAGCAGGAATGCTGGAAGCGGGCGGGGCAAGCAGGGAGAGCCTGAGGAGGAGAGCGAGGCCGAAGGAAGGCGCAGGAGCGACGGCATCGTGGCTGCAGCACAGTTCCTCTCCCCAACCTCTCCCCACTGCCCGGGCTCCCCCATCCCACTCGCTCCCACACGCGCCCGCTGGGCTGCCCGGGTAACTAAAACAGGGCTAGGATCGGGATAAATCGCTCCAGAGCGTTCCGGAGCGCTCTCAGAGCGTTCCGGAACGCTCTGGAGCGGCCGCGGCGCCCAATACATCCTCCAAACCCGCCGATTCTCAGAGATTTCGAGCTATCCCGATCCGATTTTGTCCCGATCTTCGCGTCGTTTGAAAAACCCTCGCCCGGCCAGCGGAGGGAGCGACGCTGCGAGGTTTGGGGCTTCCGACGTCTCTGCCCAAGCCTGTCGAGGACCCCACGTTGGTGTCCAGGTGGACCCGGCCGGCCGCGTCGAGCCAGACCGCCCCGTAGCGGCGCCGCGAACTGCCCTCCACGTTGGCCTGAGGATTGCAAAAAAACACAGGATTGCAAACAAAAAACCCTGGATTGCAAAAAAAAACATGGGTGTTTGGAATCATGTTTTTTTGCAATCCTGGGTTTGTTTTGCAATCCTTCGAACTGCCCTCCACGTTGGCCTGGTCCACGCTGTAGGTGTCGATGTCTGTGTGGAACATGTTGGTGTCGTGATTCGAGCCGTAGGTGCCCAGCAGCATGGCGCGTCCCTGCGAGGGAAGCTCCGTCACACGGAACCAGGCCTCCCAAGTCATGCTGCCTCTGGCGTACTCGGTCCAAGCAGCATCCAGCTCCCCTCCGGTCGAGTTTTCTCGCATGCTCATCGTGAGCCAGCTGTCCTGACGATGGGCGCCAGAGGAAAAATTGTCGAGGAAGGAGCTCTCAGAATCAAATTTAGGGTCGTGGAACCCCTCTCGATCAACACAATCCCCAAACAGTGCTTGCACTTAGGGGTTCGTACTTTGGCTCCTCAGGTAACGAGACGGATCGGCCGAGGAATCTTCACGTTGCCGTCCCGTGCCGCATCGTTGGCGCTCGTGGGGGCCGCTTGCGCTAGGTCGGCCGAGCTTGGGCTAGGTTGCCGCCCGTGCCGCCTCGTGAAGGCTCGTGGGCGCCCTGTGCGCTGAGCTTACAACACATAGCTTACACTACATATTTTATCTGACCTGTCTTACACCCCATAGTTTGCACTACACCTATTACACCGCATCGCTTACACAGCATGTCTTTCGCCTCGAGCCCACTCCACCTGTATGACACAACCTAGCTTACACTCGGCGGTGGACAGACCTCCCTTTAGTAAACCACCCTTTAGTGAAAACGGCCTAGGACCGAAACCGACGGCTATGGACCAACAACAATGACGGCCACGACGCCCTCTCGCAAACCGAAAACGGCCAATTCGCAAATCGACGCGTCAGGGCAGGAGGTATAGTAACCTCCGATACTCCAGATTTCGTAATAAAGGGATGGGGGTCTCATTTCGGGGGGGGTCTCTTCCAGGCTACCTTGGAGGGCCTGGGGGGGTCTGGGGACGATGTCTTGGAGGGTTCTCCCACGGGGGAGGTCTGAAATGGCTTGTCTTGGAGGGTCCAGACCCCCTTTTACTACGAACTCTGGAGTACACCACGTGAGTCAGACCGCGTAGCTTTCGCCTCCATGCCTCACGACACACAGCTTCCACGCCACGGCTTACACCACACAGCCTGCGCCGCACGGGCCGCAGCCCCCGCAGTGCCACGACGGCCCCCGCTTGGGGGGCCCACGCTGGACAGCCGCCCCGTGCCTCCTCGTGCGTCCGCCACCGTGCCCCGTGGCACGAAGTCTGGGCAGTCGAAGCCAATCTGGCAGGCCTAATCTGGCAAACGGGGACAGTCTGGCGAGGGAGCCAGCGCGAACCCAGTCGCGGGGGCGGAAAAGAGGGGGGTGATGACTAGGGGGGGGTGGATATCATGGCGTGGGCCATGATATTTCCCCAGATTTCATGGCGCCTCTTCTTATTTCATTACGTCCCTGGCCCCCCCGCTGGGCCGCGCACATGCCGCCGGTCATGATTTGCACCCCCCTCTCTTGGACACCCCCCTCTTGGCCGCTCCCAGTCTGGCGAATAACCCAAATCATCCAGTTTGGCCGGGCCAGATTGGCCCTTGGGGCCCAATCCAATCTGACAGTCTGGCCTTCGACTACCCAGCCTTGTGCATCCGCCACCGTGCCCTGTGGCACGAAGTGGAGTGCCTCCAAGTCCTGTTCGGCTACACGCAAGAACGACCCTGGGCAAGAGTGACCTTTGGTGCGCGGCTTTTTTGGGGGCCGCTTGGGGGACCAAACCTGGGCGCGCAAGCCGCTGCTCCTGCTTCGTTTTCAGCCATCTGGGGACCCGTCTGTGCCTGCACCAAAGGTCACTCCGGCGAAAGGTCACTCTTACGTCCAGTCGACCTGTGCCCATATAGCCCCTCAAAGCCCCAGCCCTCCATCCCGAGGAGCCTCCTGAGGTCTCCAAGACGGTGCAAGAGGGCCCCAGGACGGTCTCCAAGACGGCGCCGGAGGCGCCGCCAGGAGAGCCCAGCGCAGATCCGAGGAATCCGCGCGGAGCGCCAAAAGTTTCTGTTTGTCCCGTGCTTTGTTTTTTAGATTCGATGCGACGTTCGGGGCCGGAGAGGGCCCCAACACATGCCCAAGAGGGCCCCCAAGAGGTCTCCAGGAGCAGGAGGGCCCCGAAGCGCGGATGTATGGGTCCAAGGCGCACTGGATGGCCTCAGGGCGGCCGAACAAAAAAAAACCCAGGACATCCCAAGAGGCCTCCAAGACCGCCCCAGGACTGCCCCAGAGGCCCCCAAGGGGGCACCAAGACGGCCCAAGAGGACCCCAAGACGGCTCAAGAGGCGCACAAGACGGGCCAAGAGGGGCTAAAGAGGGGGAACACGAACCGAAAATCCAAACCTTCCGCCCCAACAGGCACCCAGGAGGCCCCGAGAGGCTCCCAAGATGTCCCCAGAGGCCCCACGAGGCCCCCACGAGACCCCAAGAGGACCACAAGAGGCCCAAAAGAAGCCCCGATAGGCCCCCAAACAGCCCCCCAGGCACCTCAAAAGTGCCTCCAGGAGGCCCGAGAGAAGCCTCGACGAGATCTCAACGAAGTCCTAGAGGCCCACAACTTCAACTCCGAAGCCCAATAAATGTACACACATACACACATCTGCAGATACGGGAATTTAGAAATATCAACGCATCCTCGAAACACGCCCTCGATTCGCGCGCTCAATTTCTAGCAAACTACGACAATCGCTAATCCGCCACCGTGCCTGCGGGCATGGAGTGGGCGTGTCCTCGGGCCGGAGCCCTAACCTCTCGACTCTCCCGCGGTCCGGGGCGGCTTGCCCGCGGTCCAGGTCGGCCTGTCGCAAGACGTTTTCGGGGCCCACGGGGGCCCAGACGGGCCAAGAAGGCCCCAAGAGGCCCCTAAGACGGTCCGAGAGGGCCCCGAGTCGCCGAGTGATCGGTCCAAGACGCCCAGGATAGCCTCCAGGCGGCCAAGAGGCTTCCAAGACGCCCTGGAGGCTTCCAAGAGGCCTCCCAAGAGGGCCCCAAGAGGCAACATTCATTGATTTCCCTTGGGAACTTGACTAATTTTGGCGTGCTCGCCTTTTCGGCTGCCCGACGCTTCAAGACGGCGCAAGAGGCGCCCAAGATGGCGCCAAGACGGCCCAAGAGGCCTCGCAAGGGCCCCCAAACGACGGCCCAAGAAGCCCCCAAGACGGCTCCAAGAGAGGGCCCAGAGGGCCCCAGGAGCCCTCAAGAGGCCATCAAGAGGGCCCAACAGGGCCCCAAGAGGCCCCGAGGAAGCCCCGAGAAGCCTCCAAAAGGCCCCCAAGATGCTCCCAAGAGGCCCCCCAAAGGCCTCCAAACTGCTCCCCAGAGGCTCCCGAGAGCGCCCCGAAGAACTCCCAAGGCGCATCTATGAGGCCTTCGACCCGCAACCCAGTCACGGTGGCGGGATGGGCCGAAGGCCATTCGATCCGCCGCCCCCTGTTGGCTTGCCACAGGGGTGCCTGGCGTGCTAGACTTCTTACGATTTGGTGTTGGTTTTTTTTTCCAAAAGAGATCCCCCCGGGGCTTCGGCCCGTCCTGCCGGCCACCCGAAAGGCCCCCAAACGAGCACAACGCCCAACAAACAAAAAGACTCCAAGACGGCTCGATATGGCTTTTCAGATAGCCGCGCTGGCCCAAGATGACATCCGGGATGGCCCAGGATGGTCAAAATTGCCTCCAAGTCCGTCGAAGAAGCCACCAAGATTGGGAACCCCCAAACCGGGTGGTGAGATACCAGGTGGCGACCTGGAATCCCCAAAAAGGTCACCGCTGGGTTTGGGGACGCGGGGTCACCACCAGGTTTTGTGACTCCTGGACCCACCAATGTCCGGGACATCCTCGGAAAGCCGCACGAGTCCCCAAACTGGGTGGTGACACCAAATCGCCCGAGACTCACCGCCAGGTGTTGTCACCACCACGTTTGGGGACTACCAACAAAACGGCCCAAGATGACTCGAAGATGCCTCCGAGCCCGCCCAAGAAGTCTCCACGATGGCCCAAGACAGCCCGAGAGGCTCCCAAGACGCCCCCGAGATCCCCGAGGGCCCGAAGAGGCCCAAATCATCGGTTGCCCTCAGGTGTTTGACAGATTTTGGTACTCCAGATTTCGTAATAAAAGGGAGGGGGTCTCAACCCTCCCAGACGAGAAGTTTTAGACCCCCCCCGTGGGAGAACCCTCCAAAACATCGTCCCAAGACCTTCCCCAGAGGCCCCCAAGAGGCCTCAAGAGGGCCCAAGAGGCCCCCAAGAGGCTCCCCAGAGGCCCCCAAGAGGCCCCCAAGAGGCCCCAAGAGGCTCCAAGACGCCCCCAAGAGACCCCACGAGGAGCCCGAACGACTCACACCAGGACGAGGGGTCCGAACGACTCACACCACGAAGAGCCCGAACGACTGCTACCAGGACGAGGGCCCCGAACGACTCACACCACGAGGAGCCCGAACGACTCACACCAGGAGGAGGAGCCCGAACGACTCACACCAGGACGAAGGGCCCGAACAACTCACACCACGAGAAGCCCGAACGACTCACGCCAGGACGAAGAGCCCGAACGACTCAAACCACGACGAAGAGCCCGAACGACTCACACCAGGAAGAAAGGCCCGAACGACTCACACCAGGACGAGAGGCCCGGAGATATGCGGGGGCAGGCGGAAACACGCCTGAAAACACACGACTGTCGGCATGCTTCGCAAGAGTTGCTGTTTTGAGATGGGCTGGTGGGGATACGCGAAGCGTGAAGAATTCCAAGAGGCCCCAAGAAGCCCACAAGAGGCCCCCAGGACACACGAACAGGCCCCCAAGAGGCTTCCAAGGGACACCAACATTCCTCCCCAGTGGCCCCCGAAAGCATTCCAAAGAGACCCCAAGAAGCAGGCCCTGAGGACTCGGGCCCGTGTCAGCGTTGTCGTCGCCGCCGCGGCCACCGCCGCCGTTGTAGTCAACGTCCCCCTTCAGGGTCCCGGTACGGGCCGTAAGGCCTTCGCACTAACGCAGAGAGCCTTTATAAACTGCTAAATCTGTGTTATTAAGAAGCATCCCACGAACTTTCTCGGATCGCAACTGTGACGTATTGAAAGCTACCGTGGCAATCTTAGAAACTTCATTAAGCCACGTTAGCAAGTTATTCAACCCTAACCTGTCTCGGAGGGCGTTCAAGAGCGGATCGGAGGGAACCCTGAGACCCAGAGGCGGAGTGTTCAAATAATATGGACATGCGCGCGCGAGAGGCCCGTTTGGTCACATTTGTAAA